CATAGGTGCCTCGGACGCCCACAACCCCCCTCCAGCGGTCTCACCTCAAGTTCCTTGCTTCATGGCAATTAGTTTTCAGGCTGTTCATCGAGCCAGCCTGTACTGCGAAGGAAATAGCACCTTGTTCCGATCGTTTCCACCTGGGAAATTCATGTCAACCCGCCATGGACTCAATCCCTTCCTTCTGCCCTCAATTTCTGCTAATCGTAAGGTAGGACACCCTGCCTTGAATCCATTGCTTCTCTGACCTGTGGCTGTATGTTCACCAGTCATACCTCGGTTTTCTTCACAGCACTTCTGTAAGCATTACTCCGTTGAGCTTCAGTTGAGCTTCAGTCACGTGTGTAATACTGTCGAGTCAGGCTCCCAACCGCACTGTAGTCGCATCCGCAACACCTTACACAGGTCACCAAGCTTGACCCTTTACCCATTACAGCTTCGTCTATTCAGCCTCCCTACGTTCATTTAGCAATAAAATTCGCATACTAACCATACGCGTTCACCCCGGCTCTCACGCCTCATTCCATTCATCTCCCACAGTCGACATCCTAGCATTGGCCTTTCAGCCTCCCCTTGGTTGTATCGCAACCCTAGCCTTGGCCATCCCACTCATCTCAGTCCCATTCACCAGACCCATCATGGGCCCTCCTCCGCTTCGGTCACCTCCACGACCCCCACATAGACTATCTGGCTCACTTCGGTCGCATCCACGACATCTCAGCACGGGGTGTCCAGCCATTTCAAATAGGCAGCATTTGTGACATATCCTCGGAAACTCAAGTTGGCTCTTGTGAGTCAGTCTCAGTCGCATCCGTGACACTTCAGGCTGTGGCCTGCTGCCAGTTTAAGGCTCATGCGCAGCAAGTCGGCAATATTCCAGTTACCTCTACATTCACACAAAGGTCAAACAGTTTCCGTCCATCCGCCAGAGTAACTCACGTCAAGTCCCCACAAACCAGGAGCCCACGACGAACATAGCGCCAGAGCAGCAGAACGGAGCCCTAAACCCTCACCCAGGCACTGAAACTCAATCGAGGACCCCAAAGGCTCCGGGCCATTGGACGGCATCCTGCCACGCATAGAAACACTTCCTAAATGCCTCCCCCAGCCAACCCACCCGCAGTTCCTGGGCGAGTGGCCGGTGGTGTTAGGAGTCCAGAACTCACCTGCATGGGAATTGTGGGAATTATAGTCGTCAACCAACGCTGCAACAAAGGCGAAATTTTGGTAACGCTTATGTATTGCAGGGGGAAGTCCAGCGGGTAGTGGACGACGTTCGGTATGAAATTGCCACTGGCGGCCAGGTATGATTCGGATGTAGCCGAGCTGCGGCTAAGAAAGAAGTGGATAGCCTGAATTCCACAAACGGAAGAGGAGGACGATGCTCTCGGAAAATAAGTGCCGCTGCTGTCTGCCGGCGCCGTGCAATTCCATATCCAGTGTCTTTGTACAACATATTCACCTTCACGCTATCCAGATGTGGCCCGTTGGGCTCCTCGCTGCGAAGATAATACCTTAATCCTCCGGTCGTTTCATGTAGGGAAGCCGCAGTGAACTAACCGGAATAGTGGCATCCTCATAAGGGCCTTCGAGCCTAGCCTCGATCGCATGCATAGCTTCCCCACACGAGCCATCCAGGCTCACCTCAGTCAAATTTATGGCCCCCAGCATGGTCCTTACCACTCTTCAATGAGCTCTCCGACCTTCTACAGGACTTCCGCTTCATCACAGCCAGCACTGTCAACCTGAGGATAGACCATCCGGTGCGCTCAGCAACACGCACGATGTGCAAACAACGGCCCTCGCGCCCTTAGTACATTCATCTCTGCATGGGTCACCCGGCCCCTCTTCAGTCTCATACGCGATACCGTAGCAAGGGTCACCATCAGGGCTCACTTCCGGACCTGGGCCATCAGGTGCCACTAGCATCCACTCGGCTACACCCCGAATCTGGGCCATCATGGCCATCAGGTGTCGCCAGCGGCAACTCTACGACACCCAGAAACAGAGCCATCAGGCCCCACTACCATCAATGCTGCAACACCCGGCCGAGGAGGCTTCGCTAACATCGACCCACTAAACCCCGAACTTGGGCCATCAGGCCTCACTAATGTCGAGTCCGAGAGGCCTCACTAACGTCGCCTCGGTGACACCCCGAATCTGTGCCCTCAGGCCTCGCAAACATCGACTCCTCAACACTGTAAAGCTGGCCCTCAGGCCACGCTAATGTCGATTCCGCAACACTGTGACCTGGGCCATCA